GAATTTACTTAAAATTTGTTTTGTTTTGTCCTTTTTTTCTGAGCCTTTTAGAAGAACTATCATTGTGTCTGTCATTGGCTTCATCGCTTTCAAACTATGTTCGTCGTAGTTCATCTTACTAAGAGTCAAGTCCATAAAAGCCGAAAAGGAAGACAGAGATATAACTTTTATTTATTAAAAAGCCTTTAAGCAAAAGTGCAATTAGTTTTAGTTAAATTCTGCAATGCTTAAAATCAAAAATGTTAATTATTTTCGCTTATATAATTCTCTCTTTTCAACATTGAAAATTTTTGTTTTATATGCTAAAAATTCTAATAGTTGCAAGTGAACATCAGCTGTTAAATAAATAGCTGCTATAGTCGAAAGATATAACTGGCAATGCTGTCCTCCTTGCAAAAATAGCAAAAAAAAAAAAAATGGTATCAAATGGCATAGGTACACTTAGCAAACGCGAACAATTGAAATTAGATATATTAAGAACCGAACACAATGCACGTGCATCGTTCATTATGCACACAAATGTCAAAATATGAGTTCTTTATGGTTATTTATTTATAGACAAAAAAAAAAAAAAAAAATCAAACGAGCGTTCAACTTTTACTTTTTGTGTGGATATTTGCATTGACAAGCAAAACAATGATGCTTGCATAAACAACACATAATCGTATGCAATGGATTTTGTCCAGCTTTCTGCTGTGAAATGCCGGGCAACTTTCATACATAAACTGCGGAGCAGTCACTAATACCATGGTGTTCGGGATATATATATATATCTTCCTCGCAAATTTTCATGAAAAATGGAATATTCAGCAACGCTTAATAGCGATTGCTTTGTTTATCTAGCAGTTGGCAACATTTTGCTGACAGAAATAAAAAATATAAGTTAAAATAAATAAAAAAATGATGAAGCAAATATTAAATTTTAATATAAGACAAAAAATTACTCCTTTAACAGGTGTCGATCAAATATGAAATTATTGAGTAAAATTTTCAATTCTAGCTATTACGATGACACTGTGTGCAAGCGGAATATGTGCATAGCACATATGTATATTCCCGCTCATTTTTTCATGCGCTTTTGCTTATTTAAATGCATATGAAAAAATTTCCTAAGAGAATTAGCTTTTTGTCGCTTTTTCCATTTTGTGATCTATGAGTAAAAAATTTAATTCATCAATGAATTTGCAGAATCGAGTGGTTTTTTGCTGATTTTTTAGTCATACGGTACAGATTGGTCAAGTGCAATTAGACCCCAATGAAACTGGTCAAATGTAATTAAATTACCGCTTCAAACTATTATCATTAAAACCAGTAAAATGAATTCAATAGCAATTCCAACAATTTTATATGTTTAGTACTATTACTTATACTATTTCGAGATTTTACAATTTGGAGCCTTTTCCAAATATAAAAGACAATGCTAACCAAACCAATGAAGGATAGAAAATTAATTTTCTTTACCTCTTTATTATTAACTCTCTATAATTTATATTATATGAGACAGATATCATTAGATATAAAAGGCAACTTTTAATGCATACTCTGCCTACTTTTAAGTTCGAGATGCCTGATTTTTTTCAAATATTAAATACCTCCCTTTATTGAGATTAATACAAATTGAATTATAATTTGTATAATAATAATATTAGTTCAATGTTATAAGAACAAAATCGAATGGATTATCTGTTTCGGCTGGCAACTCCATTCGATAATGAAATAGTTATACCACCTGCAACGAAAGGAAGCGAAGAAAACTAATAGTAGTGCAATAAAATTCTTAATGAAATGACGTGGTTTTGTCGCGTCAAGTGTAATGTCGGGTCAACGGAACAAATTGCCTATTGCTGTATGTGAACGAGAAGTAGAGTTAGGGATAATTAGATAAAGTAGAATTAATGAAATAAAGTTCGGAATACTCTCTCTCGGGAAAATCGGCCATTGCAGTGTTAATAATTTACTTAAAAGTGCATTTCTAAGGTTAGAAACTATAGTAAGCTGGTATTAGCAAATCTGTCAAGAATATGTTCCAATCGAAATTCTCCCTTGAAGTGGACGTCCAAGAATGTTTCCAAAAAGAAAAGGTGCTTTCTTTCTATTTCTGGTTAGTTAAGGCTAAATTTAAAATGATTACATTTCAGGTTATTTAAGACAATCGTTTCGTGGCAGCATTCGTAGTTGACGAAATTGGAAAATAGATTATAGATAGCTAATCAATCACATAAATTACTCGATTAGAAATTTCTTAATCCTTTTGCTTTATTAGGTAAGTGTATTTACATAACCTCATATGCTAAGCTTAGCAATTTTTCGACTTTCACACGTAACACAATCGATCAAGTACCAACAATTACGATAAATTTTATTTTTATGCGATGGATGTTACTTCAACAGCTAAACGTATCATTTATGAAATTTATTGTGGGCGGTCTCTTCAATTTAAGAAATGTGCTTTTTTCCTCTATTATACAATATGTATCTTGTCGAAAACGTATTTCTGCCCGATTTTAAAGAGGATGATAGGATGATAGGCAAGACAAACATAGTTTCATACGTTTCTAATCTCTATATATTCAGTTCATTTATGCAGCAGCAGAACTATCGGCAGCATCATGTCGCAATGTTCTTCTCAGTTTGATCTTTGAATTGCTTTTGTCAATGTCATCAACTAACCGCAAAAACCAATAATTATAATTTTATTAAAATAAGAAATTCCTCTTAAGGATATTATTTTCTGCTTTTTAACATCTTAAATACTTTTTCATGATGGCTTATATTACAAAATTCTTATGTTTCAGTTTTATTCAAAACTTTAAAGTTACGGACACAAAAAAATCGAACGAAAACAAAAAAGAAAACAAGAACAAAAGGAGAAAAGTTTAAGAAATAGAAGCAAAAGTAAAGAAGTTAAAAAGTTTTATGTAATAATTTGTCGCAATGCGGATGTTTTGTAGGTTTTCATTTCTTTGTTTGCTTAAGTTTTCAAGTAGTTTTTCTTGATGATTTATAGTGCTCTTGAAATTATACATAACGTTGTTAATTTGTTACCACTGACCGGCTTTTGAATATATAGTTAAAGCTAAATTGATGACATCCAATGGGAAAAATTATTCTAAAAAAATTTTTTCACAGAAATCTTTAACTTAACTTTAGCCTGCTCTATGTCAAGCATCCAAGGTTACGCGCATTTTGGTATTTGCAATTTCGTCTTAACGGGAAAACATGCAATAGAAACCTAACAAATTCTTTACATAGTAAGTCATGAAATGTTAATATGGAGAAGCTGCGTACGATTTTCATTCGCTTTCTTTATAATATATCAGAAGTCATTTACAATATTGTTACCGGTAGGCAAGAAGAATTAGATTTATACACACGGACCTATAAATCAATAACAATCAGCTATGCGGATTTGTTAAGATGAATTAAGTATGTACAGAGCAAATATCTGCATATCTTTCACAAGAATTGCAATAAATTTTTCAACGAACAACAATCTTAGTCTGACAAGGAAAAGGACTAATTATTTTTATGAAACTGGCAGTCAGATATCGGCAAAGCGGCATAACATTAGTCTCCTTCATGATAGCGCGAACTTCCACTACTGGAATACTTTCACTCGATGGGCCAGCCGGCCTTGCAGTCATCATTTTTCATCCAATGTCGTTGGTTTTTCACATTTTCATATTTTCAGATTAATTTTACTAATTCGAAATGATGTTTATTGTATTAGAGCGCCGAAAGATGAAGAAGTCTTCCCGAGTATTAAGTGTTGTACCAATCCATCCAAATATCCAATAACACATTGTTATGTAAAATCTTTGTAACGAACTGAATTCTTATACTCGTTGAATTATTAAAATACTATTGAAGGTCAATTGCAGTATGCAACATAAAACCACAGCACAAAGACGTACATAAATATGATCCTATGCGCTTTCACTCTATTTCTTCCATTATACGATAAGCTTTGAAAACGCGCGTTATCTATTCCTCATAAGATTCCGTAATCTTTCAGGCGTGTCTTAAGTTTTTGTAAGTAAAATTTTTCCACATATGTATAAATCTATATAAATAAAGCAATATGCGAAGTAAAGAAACAAGAAGCATTGAAAATCCTTGCTGCATAAGTATTCAAGCCTGGTGGCTCTTGGCTCTATAAAGTTGGTTAGAGTTGTGCTGATATGGATGATTATAAATAACATTAAAAACCCTCATGTAAATGTTAACCATTGAATTTGCTTTAATTGCTTCTGCAATGAGCCTGCGGTGAGGATAAATTTCATGCGTTGAGTTATAATAAAGGTATGCTTTGCGTTTGTGTATAAATGCGTAACATTAAACTCTCGCTCATCTTAATAAAGATATTCACATGTATGAATGTATATGTATATCTCCCTTATATGTACTTATATGCATGCACACATGAAGTGCAGTAGTAAAAATTTATGATGTTCTTGCAGCAAAGTACTAAAAAAACTTTTATGTTTGTTGAAACTTTGAAAATTAGAACAAAGTACTTTTTGGAAGCATTTCTATAAATTAAGTTTTTTTTTTTTTTTTTTTTTATTTTAAAAGGAACCAGCTCCACATGCGCATAAGTCATTTCTTTTTCTTTTAAATTTTAAAGTTTAAAGATTTCTTCAAGTCTCTTATTCTTATATACTAATACATAAATTAGGTTAAGATATGCTAGGCTAATAAAAACGGTTACCGTTAGCCAAGTTTAGAGCAGTAATATGAATTGGTCGAGGGAGCCAACATATGAACATATAATGATTTTATTCAGTTGTAGAGACATCGAAAGTTCAATATTGTATAAAAGTCAATTCATTAGGTCATTAGGTTAATTAATAAGGCCAATAATTGGCGTTTTATGCAGGAGTAGTAGACACATTTAGCATAACCCGCAAGAATAGGAAAAGGTAGCTAATAGTGAAGAATATCTTCCAATAATATACGAAGGGTTTCTTTTTGTTGAAGGAAGTTTATAGAAGAGGTAAGAGGTAATGAGTAGGTCGCCTTACATTCATAGATAATTCCGCATATCCTAAATAATACGACATTTCTTTAATTCTTGTTTAGCATTATTATTAGAAATCATTTGTTTGTTGCAAGTATGACTGCCGCTTGATCAATATGTTTTTCTTAATTACATACATATATGTATGTATACACACAAACTCTTCAAACCCCTTTCGAAAAGTATTGCGCCAATGCTTTCACTCAAAAGTGTATGTGCCCTTGAGCAGTGTCGTTAGGCATGTTTCGTTATTTTCGTCTTGCCTTACTTGCCTTAGTTGCTATTGTCACGGATCGAAAAAAATCAATGTTAAAGTCCTCGTCTGGTCATTGCCCGTTATATGAGAATCATCATTATATTATGCTTTTCGGTTTACGTTATGTTAAGTGCTTTCATGTGAGTTTCATATTATGTTAGATTTACATGCATTATATTCAAGCAATGACTTAATTATTACGGCCTATTAAGTCTGAGTAGCGTAGATCTACTTAATACATATAGCTTGCGTACAAAAAACTTTTCAATATTCATTCAGTCGACAAAATCACATAGGCATTGCTATAAGAGTGCTTGAGAAAATTTTTCACATTCGAAAAAAGCATTTTCGCTAGACGGGGGATATAAATGAGTAAAAAAGTAAAATGCAAACTTGTTTGGGCTATATGTTGACTATCGCCCTACTCTGTTTTTTCACGTACGCTCTGATATCTGGAAATCTGCAGAACTCTAAGAAATTGGAAAGATTGCGTCAAGATGTTGAAGAAATGGCGCATATGGTGTTATCCAAATACGCTGGTAAAGGTGATCCCGCCCTTTTAATGGATATGATTGATAGGACGGTTAAGAAACATTTGCCCAAAATCTGGGATGATTTATATGCGATAAAGAAAAGTCTGAAAGCCGGCGAATGTCCAAGTCTCGCCTCTGGCAGGCAAGTTTTCAAAATCGATGAACGAGTAAACTACGCATCCGATGAGTTGGGTGCAAAAATCATTGCTGTGCAAGCACAACCGGTATGTCCACCCAATTTTTTGAAATCATTATTGGGAATGGAATTCACCGCGAATCCACCAGTGCGTATGCTCGAGTCTAAAATGGAGCCCGGAAATTGTTTTGCATTTAAAAACGACACAGCCGTTGTAACGATCAAATTGCCGCATTTAGTGTTAATCGATCAAATTGGCTTACAGCACATATCTAAAAAGCAGTCGCCGAATGAAGACACTTCCAATGCTCCGAAAGATTTTACGGTGTTCGGTATAATGGGAGATCGCGATGTTCAATTGGGTAAATTCCAGTACGGATGCATTCAAAGCAATTTGCTTCAAACGTTCACCGTTAGGTCAGCAGAAAAATATGATTTGTTGCGATTTCATTTCAACTCCAACCATGGTCATCCGCGTTATACTTGCGTTTATCGAATTGTTGTGCATGGAAAAATGTAAAATTCGTACAAATAGTTTCTTACAGTCGTACAGAGCTATATATTTTAGCCCTTTATTTTACTATATAGCCAGTGTTGTTTTGAATTTTTATTTTATAATTTAATGTTTTCGCAATATTCGCGATACTTTTTTTTTGTTGCTTTTCCTAAATTCTATTACGTTTCGAAAACATTTCGTTTGTATATTATTTTAATTTCATGTCACATACATGACAATATTTCTTTTTACGAATTTTACTTAAGAGCCATTTTGTTGAAATCTTGGTGCAATTTTTCCAATTTTTTTTTTTGGTTTTTTTTTTTTGAAAGTTTCGAGCATTTTCAGTTATTAAAGACAAAAAGAGAACTATATAGAAGGCAAGTTGTTAAAGGCATGTACGGCCTGTAACGTTGGCAAAATGATAGAAAGGGAAAGTTACTAATTTGATTATCCCAATTCTCTGCTTATCTGTAATAATTGTAAATGCTCGAACTTGCAAAAAATTGGAAAAATTGCGCGAAAATTTCAACAAAATCGCGCTTAGGTAACCATTTTATTTTACATTACATCACATTACCTCAGTAACCTTTTAAGATAATGCGCAAGCAAAGTCTTCGAAACTTAATCGAACATTTGTAAAATGAAGAATTACGTTACGACTTTTGTCCGTTTGCCAGTAATTTTCGCAGAACGCGACATACTAAGCAATCACGGTGTTAATCTAAGCGCTTAGTGTAAGTGAACTTAATTTTCATAAGATTTGCTAAATAATTTAAAAATTTCCTTTTTTTTATCTTAAGTATAAAAATATTGTAAAGCGCATATATATATATATATATATATATATATATATTTTAAGTTAAGAAATATTATGATTATTTTTCTACGCGCGTATATATCTACATACAATATATTTAATATATAATTGTAAAAAATCGTTGAGAATAGAAATCTTGGAAAGTTTTGACCTCCAGATCCTTCCTCGAATGTTCGTTGTTGAGGAAAACGATCGAATGCCAGTTTTCGTTTTTATTAAATTGCACAAATCGAATGATATTTTTATAAGATATAAAAATTGTTGGCATTATCTCTGCCTGAAAGTGCTTGCAAATATATGCGTACGTCATTAACTGTACTATCAATAATTTTAATCAAATAAATCGATTCAATATACAGATATATATGTAGCTTTGCAATGTTCTAGAGCAATTCCTGATCAAGTGTTGAACACAACCCGAAAGGTTATAGGAATATACTGAAAATCGACATTTTCTTTGAAAGTTATTTCATGGTTATGCTTAGAAGCCATCAAATTTGGATTCACTACCCTTTGAAACTTGAAACTCTAACGTTTCGCTTTCACTCCCCAGGCTTGTTGTTATTACATGAGATAAGCTGCTGATGTATCTTTGTCTCTTTTTCCAACTTTAACATAAAGTAATAATAAGTGCAAGCGAAATTGGAAAGCGAGTCAAGGCGGAATACTTTGCGAACTTCATGTTGACCTTATAGGATTCCTAGTTCTTTTATTCGTCTTTGAATGCAAATTCTACAAATTGCAATTTTGTAAGGGGAAAATACCCAAAGCTTTTCTATGTTTATTTTCATAAAATTTTTAAAAAATTTCTTTTAAAAGGTAATATTCTCTTAAGTTTTCACTGATTCAGTCTTATTTTAAATGTCAATAGCAATGCGAAAAAATAATATAAAAAATCGTTACATCCCTACACCACTTGTGGTACAGGTTATATTAAGGTATGTGCGGCCGTATGTAACATGCAGAAGAGTTTAAGATAGACCCACTTTTTATTACACCGATCCATTCAGAATCATAATTTGTCCGTCTGATGTCGGTCCATGTAGTTTTGTGTTCAGCTGCTGTTTTGAGATATTTTGAGGAAATTTGGTACAGTGAAAAGGAAAATCGTTGAGATCGGTCCACTTTTTTCCGCTATTCTGAAAAGTTGTTACATGAAAAAAAAAAAAATTATTTTCAAAATTTCTCGGCAGAAGTGACTAAGTAGTAGTGGGGCTTTGTAAATTGGTATGAAAACTTTGGATCGGCTGGGGCAATTTTTGAACCCCGTCTCATATAACGAAAACTAAAGTTCATATGACAAAAAAGTATAATTTTCCATGCTTCGTGATGAAAATTATACCACAATAGTAATTTTGGATCCCATCCTGATGAGGATTTTCACGAAAATTTAACCTTTATAGGGCAGAAGAGACGAAATTTGGCCCATAATAGTAATTTCATATAAAAATAAGAATTGTATTAGACAGTGTAGTGTATTTAATGGTCGGCTTTGCCCGGCTATAATGTTCTTACTTGTTTTCGTAGCGAGAACTTTTGCAATTTTTATACAGCGCCAGCGAAGGGCGGATTGTATGTTCATTTCGTTAAAACGTTTGCAATACTGAGCCCTGGGAATTTATCGGACACGTTGGAAAAGTACATATGTTAACAGGAAAAACTCATTAAATACATATGACATATGGCATTAAAAGCTTTAAATACTCTTTGCAAACTCTTGCAAGGCAAACTCATCATGTCCATTAAGTGAGCGAAAATGCTTATTAAAAATTGTCTAATTCACATATTTGTATGTATGTATATATACATGTATATAAATAATGTATATATATCATATATATATATATATATATATATATATGAGGTCTATTAAGATAGGAAATGCCAGAGAAATTTTTCGGGAAAAATAATAATTAAGATCTGATTATCTCCAGTGGGTACTTGATGAGTTTTTCTATCAATCGACGATATAGGCATGCTTTCCTCTTAGTCTGCATAAGTGTCGGTAATGTATAGCAGAATATTTATTACCTTCCTCATATAATCTATGAATAGACCGGTCTATGAAAAAGACCGATCTAGTCTATCCATAATTTAATTATCTCCCGTTTTTATTTTCCAACATAAAGGCGATGGACATAAAAGATTCGACCAGAGCCTTATATAATATTCTTGTTTATTATGCTTTTTCTATTTGTTTGTTGTGACGAGGACTTTGTGTTGTGTCCTTTCATAAATAAGAGAAACTAGTTTTGGATTAACTTTCTTATACGGTTTTATTTTCAGTTTTCTTTCGTTGCAACAGAGACTGAATGAACATAGGTTTTAACCTAAAGGTTACAATATGTAATAAAATAGTTTTTTTTTTTTATTTTTATTTTTTTTTTTTTATTTATAAAAAAACAACATTAAATGTTTAAGTTGATAACTTCAAAGAGATGAAGAATTTTTTCATCATAAATTCCCTCAATTATATAAAGCTATTGACACGAAAATTTCAACAGTTCTTTTTTAACTGCAGTCAAACAAATGCGACATCAATAGTTTAGCTTTCCTGAATGTTTTCCAATTTTTCAGCATTTTTACTTACGTCAATCTGTTAAATTAATTATGTTCCTGCATAAAATATTCAACTCTTTTTGGCGTCTTTTGTTTGATTTGCAATTCTTGTTTCTATGTATGTGTGTCATGTCACATGTCCTAGATTCGCACATATGTTAGTAGTCAGTATTTGTAGAGTCAGTGTCTGTCAAGTCAGCAGAATTTCAAATAGCATTTTTACGAGCACTGTTGAAACTAGGAGTAGTAGAGAAGTGGTAAACTTCAAACCGGAAGCCATATAAGTAATTAAGTGTAAGAAGAAATACTGCTTAGTCGAATGCAATGTTAATAAGACTTTATGCTTGTTGGGTTTCGTAAACTCTGAGCCGCTCTAGGCACATATGTCCATATGCACTATTCGATCGCTCTATTACAACTTTGGCTTTTAGGGAGTGACTGCGCGTTTGCACCTAAACATAATGTGTGTCTTGATTGCTCTTAACTCAGCAGCATATTTGCTCGCATATAATTATTTACTTGCCTTCCGATGGGACATTTTGAAGTCTTCTCACGCTTTTATGCAATGTTCGAATCTTACAAATCTCTCAGTAAAATTTGTTTTGGCGAAACCAGTTCACGCTCATATAATTCGTATAATTTTTAGAATATTCTTGTCCTAGCACTGCGCAAACCCACCTTGTAACTTTTTGCTGCTGGTATTATTCTCTAAATGATTATAGTCATCAATGATTGCTATGCCTAGCGATACATATTCTAAAAAAAGAGAGGGGACCCTGATATATGACTATAGAAGTTCATCAAAGTTCGACTTAAACTCGAACTGATGTTCTTAGTCCTTAAGCAGACAGCAATCTGAACATATGTGCACGATAGCTACGAAGGTGAGGTTTATAGGTTTTCATCCAAGGCCTAACCTTATCGAAAATGGATTTCGTCGGACCATTTTTACGACCATTGCGGAGTAATAGTATTTCGGCATTTAATTAATGTGAAAAATTTAAGTCGAATGCGCCGATATATTAAACTCTCTGTTATATAATCGTTCCTCTATGGCAGAAATGATCTAATTTTTAACCTTTTAGAGTAAGGATGGCTCCATAACAATAGTATTACATGCGTCCGCACAAACTTAATATACTCTTAGCCACGTGTACAAAGCGGAGTATAACAAATAGTCAAATAGACGATCAGAACAATGTTTCTAAATCGATTAGGGACTTCACGCTGACATTAGCGTTTTTGCATATTTTCTCTATGGTACAGGCAAGGGCTCGCATTCATATATCCGGAATGAGACAATTATAAAGAGATGTATGTATGTATGTATGTACGTATGTAAAAAGGCCAATATTCTCCTTTTTCCATATAAATGAATAAATAAATTATTAAAATTCAGATTGAATTGACTGTTTGTTGTTGTATCGCGCATACATGCATACATACATCAGTCGAGTAATTTGCATTTTACTATGTGTGTATGGATTACCTATCGGAATACTGTTCAGCGAACTCGGAAACATAGAATGAAGAGGAATTTCTAAAAAAAAAAAAAAACAAAAAAAAAGAAGAGAATACAATCACTTCAACTAATTCAATTGAAATATATGTTGAAATATTCCCATTCAGTTGTTTCTTTCATCATGTCATGACAATAAAGCAATTAGATTTTAGCACATTTCACACATTTGTCATAAAATGGTTTTCAACTTTTTCTCTTTTTCCTTTAGCCTTTCTCACTCTCTCTCTCTCTCTCTCTCTCTCTCTCTCTCTCTCTCTCTCTCTCTCTCT